TCTGTTACATAATACGACCCCTGTTCCAATCTGCTCTGTCACAAATACGCGTAGCAATATTGAGCAGATATTTAGTCTAGTGAGGCTAAAGACTGCATTTGGGAGAAGTGAGCCACAAGGCAGTTTTTAGTGCCTCTAGATTTAATGTATACATATAGAATTTGTACGTATTTATTGGATACAAGTGTCCGTATATCTGTTTTAACTGAGTCTATTAAATCAGGATCCACACTTAGATCCAGACATAGGATTAATGATTCTTTATCTCTATCGCTTAACTGCTGCACAAGTCTTACACAAGATTTACGTCAGCTAACTTTAAGAGGCAGGAGATGGTGTTTTGATGCTGCAGCGAAGTAATAATCGTTCAAAAACTTTTATAAACTTTGAGAAAAGAATGCAAGAGTCTTTTTTGGTGTTATGGCCCGTCCCAAACAATCAAATTTTGAGGTTATATTACAGTTATTGAACTAAATTTTTCCATTTTTAAGTATGTTTTGGTCTAAAAAATGGAAAATTGATACTGCCGTTGGAAATAACGGGGAAAAAAACAAATTTTAATTAGAAGTTAGCCAAATACAATCTACATAACCTAAAATCGCATCGAAAAATTGATATGATTTTTTTGGTTCCAGTTTCAATCTGAAAAATCTGAAAAAAATTAGACTAATTTATCACGAAAATACTCAATACCGTAAATTTTTTTTAATTTTCCGTAGAAAACTGTAGACCAGGAAAAGCTTTTTTTGAAAAAACAGTTATTTTCCGATAGGAGCATTTTAGCACTATCTAATAGGCTAAAAATTTAGCTAAAGGTGTTTTGAAGCATGTTTTTTCAAATGGCTAAATTGATAAAAAAATTTTGGGTGGGGACAATTTTCATCTTCTTATTTAACTATATCCTCTAATACGTTTATAATTTAGCAGCAGACAATATTGTTTAGAAGGAAATTTTGGATACAAAATGGAACTAAAATTTAATCAGTAATTTGATTTTCACAAACTTATCTTTATAAATATTTTAAATTTCACATTATACCATTACATACTTCATTTAAATAAAATAGTAACAATCAGATAGAAAACTCTTTAAGTGAAATTTAGTTATAAGATAAATTATTAGGATTATTTTTAATTTGATACAATTATTCAAAAGTGCATTTAAACGACAAGGTTATACTGTATCTAGTAAATGAAAATTACTGTTTCGGAGATTTTTTACAGGTGTTCTAAAATAACTGAAACTCTTTCTTTCATTTAATTGTGTTCTTTGTGATTAATTTACTATTAAACACTTTATTTATAACAATACAATATCTCTTCTCTTTTTTCTAGTTTAGGCTCCGTATGGATAAATCCTCTTGAAAAGTTAAAAATAATCTTCTACTTGCAATCTAGAGATCCCTTAGCCTTTACTTATTTTTTCAGATCCAAGTTTTTTACAGTTAATAAAAACAATTGTAATTTTTCATGAGAGATCGAGCTACAAGGCATAAAAACCGTCGATTTTGACATGCCTTATTTGGACTGAACTAGGAAGGTGGTTTTGTTTCTTTTTATTAAAAAGAAAACTATAGTATTTTTCTTTGTTTTTGCGTATAAGAGCTAAAATTAACTTGTTTTATGAAAAAAAAATTAACAAAAGTAAAGTACTTTTATTAATAGAGTCTAACTAAGCTGTCACGCAATAGAAACTTACATTCAAGGGAGTTGGGGCGCAACTCACTTAACGATAAAAACGTTTAAAAAAATATATATTTTGTAAAGAAATATTGTATGGATGTTGTCACCAAATTTGAACACAATCGCATCTACCGATTTCAAGAGAAAAATTCATGAAGTTTCCCTTTTTTTTTATCTTTAACATGGGCTTAAATGTAAGTTGTCAAAAAAGTTGTAAAAAAATAACTATTACACTTTACGTAGTGATGAGAATGTTTTGAAAAACTGATTTGTTATTTATGACAACTTCATTAGTACACTTTCAGAGTTTCAACAAAATCGCGTCTGCAATTATGGATACATTTGCACAAACATAAACAAAATTGTTTTCAGCTCGTATGCTACATTCATACAGGAGACAAGGACTAACTGAGTCCACTGTCTGCCGTCAGCTCTATTTCTTGCATGGCACGATGGCTTTTTACAAAGTCACTTCTAGAAGCCATTCTACTCAAAACTACTATCTATAACTTGGTATAGATTTTCATGAGACTTAGTACTTTAATCCTGTTGTATTAAAATCTCTAATTTCGAAAATTCATAGCACACTTTTATCGATAGAAAATCAGATTGACTATGCCATTTACTTCTTATTTTTTATCTCTCATACAAAAAGTATTTGTGCTGTTTAATTTATACTCTAAAAAGCTAAATATCTTAAAGAATGATCTGTAATTTTTTTGAAGTGTATTATTTATACATTAATGAGTATTGGCTAGTTAAACACAAATGCCTTTTCCGTAATCGAGAGAGAGGACGTTTTTGAGCTAGGTTAGTACAGCAGACTTCATCACAGTGCCTTACGCGTGCACGCGTGCACATACACATGCTACCCTTTACCTCCCCGTAGAAGCGACCCAACTCCCTTAATAAAATGTTTTATTAGGTTGTTAAGTAATAGGGACTCTGTGGGACTCTTAAAATTGTGTGGAGGCCTGAGAGGGGACTCGGAAATTTTTGGATATTTTTTAATTGTGTAAATATAACAGTGAGAGCAATCAAAATTCTTTTACATATATACATGCATATCTTCTTACAATATACAGCCTATAATATATACATATACACTAGCGAGGCTCTGCCTCCCTGCGCACTCTGCGCGCCAACCCCCATTTCCACTTTAAAGGTCATTAGTGAAATAAAAAAAGCTCTCATTTTTTGTTTTCTTTTATACAATCTCTTATCGAAAAGAAACCTAATCAAAAATATTAGCACATTAAATTTCAAGGATGAAGGGGGATGGAAGGGAATGCGTGGAGGATTCATAGGGGATGGAGGTGGATGGAGGGGGATGTAATTAAATAGACGAAACAGCAAGAGAACAAACAAATAACAAGATATTTTAAAGGGGATGGAGGGGGATTAGAGGCTGAATCCACTCGAAATAACTATAAAATATCGAAAGATATATGCACGCTTCTCGCCCTGCATTTTTGTACCCTTCCCGACCCTTCGTTAAATAAGGAAATTGCAATTGCTATTGCTAATATTTTAACGGAATAAAATAACATCCGAACTAAATTGCAATCCAGAAAAATTATACTGTGTGTCCTCTTACCCCATTCTTTATAAAATATTTTGAACCACTGATTTCTTAAGCTATGTCTCATTATTTATTTGTCTTATTTTATTTATCACATAATACAAACTTTGATAAATCTTAAAGATGAGGTTTGTTAGCTTTTTTATTGTTAATATTTCTTTCATACGTTAAGTTTTTAATGTTTTCATGCAATCTTACGACGTGAAACGATCATACATCTATATTAAGACTTGAGTAGTAAAAAAAATAATAGCAACCGTTGTAGTCATTACCAGTAGACTTATGAAGGCTACGAAGCTTAAGGACAAAAACACTATGGTACATGATTTTCAGCAAAAAAATATAAATTAATTTATAATGTTATCTGTTAACTTATTAAAATTAAGTTTAGTTACAATAGTAAATTAAAATTGCTATACATTTGTTCATTATTTTCTTATTTTTTTAAATCCGTCCATCTACAACCTATTTTTTTTTACGAGTACGTACTAAAAAGTAATTACTCAATATGTCAAGGGCATTATTATAAACAATTATAATTTTTATTAGATAAGAGTTTCAGTTTAAGATCTCATCAATTTCTTATCTTGAATTATTGTTTTTGTATACGTCAGCAAAGTGGCCACAAAAATAAAATAATTTAGATTAAAAAAAACTTGAAAAAACAGTTTTATTTGAAAAAAATAGTATTATTACTCATGATGAATTAAAATTTTGTCTTGGATGATTTCCAACATATTTGTAACATTATAAATTATCATTATATCATGCAACATACTTATAATTAATAATCTCGTTATTGGTACACTTGCTTTTAAATTATTTATTTCCCACATCAAAAGTGTACCTCCCATAAATTAAAAACTTCTTCCTGAAAATTTTTTACTTCGTAATTAATTTCACATTTAATTTGCATAAATACCCCTTTCTAAGTTTTGCACCTTACTTAGGATACGTATGATTATCCAGAAGAAAATTTTTTTTTTTAAATTAAATTTTTTTGTCATTTAATCCCGTAATAAATTATTGTTTTGTAAATAGATGGATTACAAACAATACCATAACTTGAATCAAAGTACAATTGTCAAGAAACGGTAAAGAGCTATCATCAAGATTAGATTTTTTAAGTGGTTACGAAGCATTACCATTCACATTATAGTGAAAGATAAGAAAGTTATCTCATAATTTATCATTAAAGTTATGTCTAAGTAAGCATTATTTTTCTGTGCTCTTACATATTTACTTTATTTAAATGAATGAGTAGATTTATTAACTTCCTAATGTTCGCAAATTGGGCTTTTTAAAAGTGGAGGTATAAAAATAAGTAACGTTTGTCTAGTTTCGTCAATATGTTTTTGTATGTTTTTTTTTGTTTCTGTATCCATTTATTTGTCACTTTTTAACACTTTTTATTTGACACATAACATAAGTTATGAATTAGCCCGCAATTAAAATCTTCATTATTTTAAGCTAATCTACTAAATTTGCCATTCTTATTTTTTATAAGACTTTGAAGAAAACAAATTATAAAAGTTTTATTTTATGACCTACAAAGACATTTAATCCATATACTTCCATGTTGCAAATTTTGTCTCTTCTTATTTAATAAATTATATTCTTGTTAAATTAAATGGATTTAACAAAAAAAATGTTATAATGATAAGAATATCAGATTTGCTCATTTTTTGCAACATCAAAAAACATAGATAAATATAAATTTACATGTTTCTTGTAGGAGAACGTTTGACGGATCAGGAATGTGAAATGATTCTCAGAGACTGCATGGATAAGGAAGATGACGATGGCTTTATTTCTTATACTCGTAAGTATTAAAACCAATAATTTTTCGTCCCTCGAGTACACTGCTTTGCACCCTAGGGCTCACTCTCCGCCCACTAATTACTTTCCACCTACGGACGGAAGGAAACATTCTGGAACTTTCTACCCTCAATGCTAAAAATGTCGTTCTCACCTCATGCACAAACATACAACAATCACCCCCTTTGGGAGAGCAAGTAACACTCGAATGTTGTTAAGCTCGGCTTAAAAAAAAAGAGAAAATTGGAGTATACTTAATTTTAATAGGTCTTTAATAATCTGATATTAAAAAAGTGAAAATTTTATTATTATTACGTATCCAAGCACGTGCATGCATAGAATACATATAGTTTGGTTAACTATACTTATGTTATATATGATTTGCTCATTGTAAGAACTTCGATGTTTGCTATGAAATATGTATTGATACATGGGTACGAATTATTGTTGGTCAAATTTAATGCTAAATGAAACAAATTTTACAATACTGCGGTAAAAGAAGGTACTTTTGTACTGTTGTGTGCGACAAAAATCCCTTTTATTTAATATTGCTATTCTTGCATTTGATATGTCATCATATATGTGCAATCAATTCTTGTTGAAATCTTTGTGTCCGACAAATAAAAATTTTTTTCAAATTTTTGCTACCATAATTATATAATGATCAACTCTATCTGACTGAGATTGAGAAAAAAAATAAGCACAGCTATTTTCCATTGTAAAGACATGACTTTTCATTCAATTCGTTTTTTTATAATTATTTAAAGTTTAATGTTAAAATTTATCCGTGCTTAACTAATTTCTACTGATTTTTAAATAAATATTAAGAATGTAGGTTTTAGTCACGTGATAATTATGTTTGTAACACATGATAGAGAATAGAAAATAAATCTGTTTAAAGGTAGGAAAGGTAGGATGTAGCTTTGCCTTCGAGATATCACTTATTATTTTTAGAAATATTACCATTGTTTATATCCGTGCAACGTATATTTTTACACTTCAATACTTATTTTCTACTAGTGACATTATTTTTGGCCTATTTGGCTTCCCTTTCAAGATACGACTGTTTGTCAAATTTCGAAAGGTTACACTGTAAAAAAAATTTCTCCAAGATTTTGTAAACGTCCATACTAATTTTCCAAACATGACATTGTAAATGAATTTTTTTTGACTTGTTCTTTTCAAGATACAGTCGAAATTTCTGCGCCTTGATCATGTAGTTCCCCCTTAGGACACCCGTAAATATTGTTATTTTTACTTTTCCTTCGATGTACAGCATTTTTTCTTGTTTTCAGAGGTTGGGTTGTCGTATGATATATATTTAATACCTTAAGCGCGTTTATTTACGTACATATGTACATGTGAAAGAATAAATAGTAAAGGAAAACTATTTTTACTAAGTTTTTTTGAAGACTTTCAAAAGATCAAACGATGTTTTGGGTAAGATGTTATTTACCTAATAGTAGCCACGTTGCGATTTTCACCATGCATCACTCGCTCGATCGCTCTTGTCACAGGGTAACGCCCTATATAAGGCACGCCTAAAGAAGTTTCACTTCCATAATTTATTATTCTGAGTAGTTCTAGGTACCCATTTGTATTGTACTTTTACAAAATTGAATTACTTTTTTGAAGTACAAAAAAATTCTGGATATACAAACTTTCAAATTAAGTATATTCAAATATATTTGCTTAGAAAGATGCCTTGCGTTTTAAAACATTTTTAACAAGACATAACATGTACGTTCTCGAAATAAGAGCTATATTGAATAGATCTAAACAGCTAATAGTTAATCCTTATCTAGTCATAGTTTTCTTTAAAAGTAAGCTTCTGAATTTGCTACAAGCAATCAAAAATTACGTTAAAAAACAAACAATCAAGAAAAACAGCAAAAATTCTTTGAATGAATCTAATGACAGCGATGGTACACATAAATACAAAAAAAATAACAGTTTTTTTAAAAATCAAGACTGACTCTAGAGAGGTGCAAACAGTGCTACTATCCCAGGCACTCTTACGGGGGGAGGGGGAGGCGAAAACAAACTACAAAACTGAAAAATTCACAAATCTTACTGATATATAAAGCAAAGTCGCAAAAACCGTTGCAATCGCTAGCTGCCAAAATTATTTCAACTGTTCCTGCTAAAAATTTGCATACTGATTTATGACACTTTCTAGATGGTTTCTGTATAGTTCTTATCCCAAAAAAATTAATAAAAATAGCAATAAATAAGCTCAGAGTTTTTAAAAAATACGGTAGCTTTTCACGTTATCTTAGTAGGATCCACCAGAGGACATAGAAATAAAATCGAAGCTATCTGCAATAGAAATAAGTGGGTCTGGTTACAACATCCTCGAGAAAATTGTCAATCATCATAATCGTTCACTGACAGCGCATCGAAAATAGGATTGTGAGTCGCGCAGCTGAGCATCTGGGATACCGACAACACTCTCCTCCGATGGACAAGCAACTTACATCGAATTCCATCCCAAACCACCAAGATAAATGAGTGCCACAAAAAGAGGCGTTCTGAACGCTAACGCCTCCAGCGTAATATCAGGAGACATCAAGCCAGAGCATAATCTGTTCTAACAATTTGGGGTTTCATGGTCAGTCTTTCAACTGACCTAGTGCTGCCAGAGCAGATTCTGCTTCAACAGCAAACCAGGGAAAACAGTCCTGAGGAGTTCGGACAGCCTTATCAGCTGAAAATTTCTTCAGCCTCCTCTTCAGTAGTTTGTCTCTATGGCATACTCACTCAGAAGGCATTCTCCAGGTCCACTTTCCCAACCAATGGTAAACGGCTGTTTATCCTAGAAACGACCTGAAGACGAGATATTCTTCTGCTGGTGGCGTACCTTCCTACAGCATGATCTCCGTACGCAAAGTATGAGTCAAGCTACCCGAAGCTGGCTCTTCATTATCGAGAATAATAATATTAAATGACTGAAAGCATCACCACTGGCTTTTTTTAGGGCTATTATAAGTATTTAAGTTTCCTTGTTAACCATTAATCTCATAGATTTTTTTAGAGCTATCTAACATAAGACTACCTTGCAAACAAATATATTTTACAACCATTTCCTACGACGATTCGTTTACTTAAAGGCTACATAAAGCCAGCCACTTTTAAACCAACTTGGTCATACACTGGCAGACGTCACGAGCGGAGTTGTTACTTGCAAGGCTGCAACCCCGACTACCGACAACCCTGTATTACCCTCTCGACTTTAAGCATTCAACCAGGAATCACAAAAGAATAAAGAATCAGCTAAGTAGAAGATTAGCTTTTCACTATAACTCTGACAGTAATTACTTAAATTTTTTAGATTTTTAAATAGGTAAAACAATAAGCATTTGTATTTATTGCAGCAATAAAAAATGGAAACAGGAAGCTTCAGGACCTTGTTTCTCTGGTCATAAAGTTGTAAAATTTGAAAAACAATTTTTTAATTACATATTTTTTGTCAGTTTTAAATTCTTACAGTTTTGACAATAGCCTTTTTTATTTCATTACGGTGTTTGTTGAACGTGCCGTTCTGCTCCCAATTGTTTCCATGATTTCTTGAGGTTTAGTGCATAAGCACACGATCAGTAAGAGCTAATTTAGGAGTGAGAATAAAAACTCCAAAGTCAGGTGTTAGTTTGATCAACGTTTCGTTGGTCTTAACGCCAACCTCATCAGGCTCAGTCTATATCGTTAAGACGATCGTTACAGACTCAGTCGTTAACGATCGTCTTAACAATATAGACTGAGCCTGATGAGGTTGGCGTTAAGACCAACGAAACGTTGATCAAACTAACACCTGACTTTGGAGTTTTTATTCTCACTCCTAAATTAGCTCTTACTGATCGTGTGCTTATGCACTAAACCTCAAGAAAGCCTTTTTTATTTATTGTAACCAGAGACAGTACCGATAAACGGCCACTCAGAATCAACAATTATTTTATTTCATGGATAAGGAACGCACACTACTGTTTAGCACCGTTACCTTTTTTTTATTTTTTACAGCTTATTATTTGACAAAATAAACTGCATGGATTCCGAACAAAATAACACAATATTTATTTATACAAATATTTATACAAATTTTTTAATAAAAAGTTTTTTATACCAAGAAATAACAAGAATAGATGTAAAATTTTTAACTGAAAAGGTTTTCCATTAGATATCAACACACTTCGATATTAAATTCAGTGAGTCTTGGGCGAAGCCAAGACGGAGGGCCATTAGTACTTTAATAATATATTATTTTACTCACTCAAAATAAGAGTATTATTATACTTTTTTTCCAGCCACACAATATTTTTTAATTCGGCATTGACACTGATGACTCTTAAATATTATCCAGTGGTCTGGAAGACAGTGTAGCAAATGTGAGAGTTTCGTCTAACTAATTCTACCATATGAAGAGAAGATGCGTGCCCAAGTTTAGTTAATTAATCATTGAATTAGAACTGCATGGCTGAGGTATTTCTAAAATTTACAAGTGAAGAAGCCATCAGCATAGATATACTTTTTGTATAAACAGTCCTAAACATGGCAGCCTTTCTGTCACGCTATCTCTGGACCACAGTGTAGGTGGGATTACATTAAGATCCTACAAGTTTGGGTTTGCCTCTAGCCATTGAATTAAAACCGATGAAAATTTTTCTTTTTAATTTATGTGTAACAGCAAAATAATTTTTAACTATTATTAAAAAAATTAATCATCAACTCTTGGACTGTGGTTCTGCGACCATACTTTCTTTTTTTGCTGCCTATTGAGTACTTCTGGATTTTTCAGTTTTTATATGAAAATAAAAAAAACAGGTGTGGGTCTTAGGACCCCCGACAGATGTAAAACATTAAAGAATATGTTATTGAACTTGGTTGTATTTGATTGTCTGTGATTAAAATAGTAGTTTTCGTCAGGTAAGTGCCATCGTCTCTAAGGCTATTTTGTGGCCTGAGGGATCTGCAAAACAGGGCCTGAGGGACATAAAGCAGCCACGGAGCATTGGCCATTATGTCGCGAATCCTATTTTTTCTACCAAGCGCACACTAGCGTCTCTCTAAAAACGTGTGAGGTAGAAAAAGTATTTATTTTTTGACTCTAAATGATCTTCATTTTATATTTTTATATTAAAAAGACAGTTTATTTATGAATATGTACTTTTATCAGTGAATATTACAGATTAGGAAAAAGTAAATCATGTTTCTAATTTTGTTTTTTTTTAACATATATACAACGAGAACGAGAAAGAACAATAATACGCGGCGAAGAAAATATATAAGAGTATGTATACTACTATCTACCTACACATAGGTTCATACGTTAGTTTAACAAACGTTCGTGGTGTATTACAGTCTTTGTCACTCTGTCTCTTTTCAGATATCTATTAAATGTGCTTACTTGCGCACGTGCGCGAATTTTATTGGCTCTTTACTAAAGACGGGTTAAGATGGAGTTTAAATAAACACAATGAAAAGACCCTGGGAAAACTTTGCATTTTGGTCAAATATTGATAGTTTAAAATAATCCTGTTCACAAAGACAAAATTTTTTAAAAATGATGAAAAAATGATACTAGTCTAATATTAGTTCATCATTTTCTACAAGAGCAAAATATTAAAAAAAAGCAATGAAAAAGGCCTACCTGTATGAGTACAATAGAGAGAGAAAGAGAGAGAGAAAGCGGTAAGTACGACAGTAGACGATCAATGGCTCTCTCCATCTCACTTACTGTTATAGGAGTACGGCCAAAATGCCTTTTTCATATTTTTTCTCATTATTTTGCGCTTGTCGAAACAAAATTAGAATTGCTTATTGATAGAAACTTTTTCGCCCTACATGCTGGTATTTTTATTTTTTCTGTACATCAAACCGTTAAAAGATATAAGCAAAACAAACTTCAAAATTCAATTTTACACAATTTTCTTATAAATAGACCACTCAAAAATAATTATAACTATTTTTTTCGAAATCGGCAGACTGAATTATATATAATATAAAAAATGCCCAATTATCGATCAATTTTCTAATGCAGAAGTTTCTCGGTTGGTATCAATTTCCGCTCGGGAATATGTGTAAACGTGACGTTTATAAACGACGAAAAAATGTGAAAGCATGTAAAACAAGACGGTAAACGTACGTGTGATAAATTTTTATAAATATAAAAAAACAAATGAGCATTAATAAATTTTGTATTTTTTGAATGAAATAACATGTGATATTTAATTATTATATACTCTTCTATATAGCTATATAGAAGAGTATATAATAATTAAATACATATATGATATTTAATTATTATATACTCTTCTATATAGCTATATGTAAGGTTATTACACTTTACAAACGAGAGAGGGGCGGCAGTAAGCGCTTTGAGAAAGAGACTGAGAGCCAAGCCGATCCGAGCCGACCCAAGTTAAACTCGAGATCGTACCATTGCGCAGTCGCTTCATCGCGTCGGTCGAACCCCCAAGTACGCTATTAGATGTTTCACAAAAAAAAAAAATTGTTCTAGATGGTTGCAGTCATAAAATTGTGTTTTATTACACTATGAGTGCACACTCTACTTTGGTGATGCAGTGTTATATATTTATATATATATATATATTCAATTACTGTTAACATCAAGACACCTACATTGCACTATACAATTACACTATACAATTCAAAGGGGCAGAGATACATTATACACTACATGGCATCCTTAGCTTTTCTTTGTAAAATAAATTCAAACTTATCTTATCACTAAGTATAGTTCTGTTCATTTCTACGCCACTCATGCTTGTTTTGCCAAAAGATGGTCATTATCTTGTCATTTGTAAGCATTAAGGTTTCCTGTGAGATGAACTTAAAGTGACCTCAAAACATAACTAATTATCAAATCAGCACTTCCACTTGTATTGTAGCAACTCAAAAAGTAAGTATATTGAATTTAGTTATATTGTGTAAAATAACGTTACACTAGTGAAGCAGTTATCATTTTTGCGTGGATAATAATCATACCTGATCTAGTTTGAGTTGTAACTTATAAATCAGTTTTCAAATTTATTTCTATCTAGTATATTAACGAAATTATATATTAACAGTCATATCTGCTTAGCAGACAAAACACATCTCTTTCTCTAAAAACTGTGTGACGCACAGAATCTGAAAAAAAGCAAGGTTAAAATGAATATGAAAAGTTGTCTGAATATAAATCAGCATGTCTAGAGCTAGTGCAATAGGTGCTGGAAAAATATTTATTCCATATAAGATTTTTAAACACTACTACAGAAAATAATAAGCGTCATAAGTAACATGTGTAAAAATAAATAATCAACTGCTTCTGAACATGCTATACGTACTGTAATGTCATCTGCAGATCATAGTATCGTAATCAAAAGTATATCAGACGTACCTCTACTACCTACTTTTAAAAATGCAAATTACTACATTTTTTAATGACCACTGGTTAACTATGCTACTAGAAATAAAATAATTATTTGAAGACCTATGAGTAACAAAATAAGTAACGACAATGATCCGAAAAATAATGATGTACGCCATTTCTCAAATACGCGTTTTCAAAGAGAAATTCCAAACGTAGAAATTTAGATGATAACTTTTTTCCTCTATGACAGTAAATTTACTGTACTGCTTTTTCTAATATTTATTTAACAAAAGTACCAATACTAGTTCGAAGAAAGGATTTGAAATTAGAGACACTCATTAGTGCGTATCAAAATGAAGAAAACACCTTTAGATCACTAACGTACTTTGCGAAATAGAGTAGGTGCGACAATTTGATTAAAAAACTTAAGTGGAACAGATAGACAAAAAGTGAAGATGGATTGCTATCCATAAACGAATAATTTCCATAGCATTATTTTAGCTGGAATTCTACCCTAGAAGCTCAAGATCTAAACATGGTATACATCACCTAATGATGAGGATTCCCTGAGTTTAGTGAAGCTTTTCGAAAAATTTGACGAAGCTTTGATGCATCATGATCACTGTATCATTAATAACAATACTAATGTTAACTATTTTTGTAAAAACATTCAAAACCAGTTAATCAGCTTAATTTTAAGAAAATTTAGAAACAAAATTTGGGTTGAATATAAGTCTTCTCAATAGTTTTTTATCATCTTGTACTAAACATTACGTTTTGTTGACACTGATTGAAAGGAAGTACAAATGCATAAGTGTTTCGTTGGTAACTAGTCAACAAATGACTCAACTGGTGCTCACTGATTCATTTGTTTATGATATTATTCAAGAGTTCAGTTT